GAGAGAGAGAGAGAGAGAGAGAGAGAGAGAGAGAAACACATATGAACTCCCACAGAAGAGGAGGACAGCAGAGGGATGTCCATCATAGAGAGAGCGGACGATGTAGAGTGCCATCAAAAGGATAGAGTGACAATTTGTCCCAAGCGATACATACCTGTCACATGAAGGGAAATTCTCATAGGGTATTCGCATCCGCAGATCTGAGCAGATGAGGCGCAAAAAGCGGCCAACACTCATTACAAAGGTGACGTACAGCCCGGTGATGCCCATCTTCGAGATCGTCTCCCCAATAAAGTAGCCTGGAAACAATGCGTTCAATGATTCAATCTTTCCATTTAATGGCATTTATAATGATTCATTCAAAAACTGAAAAGATCTAATACACAGTGCCATGTCATGGGCAACACCCTCAGACTCGCATGGGGGGCTCAGCAGGGCCACTAGGACCACGACGACCAAATCTCAGCTGCCTCCCCAACATCTCCGGATACAAGAGAGGCTCTTGCCTTGGCCTGAAACCTTATAGAACCGAGGCTGGAGGGTTTAGGGTTTAAACCGCAAGTACACGGCCCCAGCCTTGCAGAAAGTTTCTCTCTCTCTCTCTCTCTCTCTCTCTCTCTCTCTCTCCCCTCCCCTCTCCCCTCCCCCCCCCGCTGGGCTCTCTGCCTCCCTTGCTCCTCAGTTTTCTGTCAGCCTCCCTCCCTCTTCTCTGACTCTCTCACCTTGCTCTATCTTCCCCCTCTCTCTCTCTACCCCGTCCCCCTGTGAGCGGAACAACTGGTTATGCAAGTTTATTTATTCCATTCCTGATTGTATTTACATCTTTTTAAAGCTTTTATTCTATTTTGCTTATTTTTATTTTACTTCTTCATTTTTTGCTGCATTGGGAAAATTTGTCAGATGCCCTCGAGAAATGCGGTATTTTGTCGGATTTCCCTAAAAAATCGGGTATTTGGTAAGTGCCCTTTTGACCCATGATCTTTGCAACAGGCCGCAGCACAAAATAATATAAATATTAAATACATATAAAGTATTTAAATTTTTAAATTCTGAAAAAAAAAACGTTGTGCAGAATTGCAATGCAAAAAGCTTTTGTGCAAGGAAAATGAGCGATAGCGAACTTCAGAAGCCAAGCAGCATCATACACATGAGACCAGATAGTCGTGACCTCGAACCAAAAGCAGAATTGCATCACGAGTCCCACCAAATAAGAGCACAGTCAAAGCTCATAAGTGACAATGTTCGAGTAGTCTCATCATCATCAACAAAGAACCAATGTCGACAACCTATCTGGCGCTCGGCGCCCAGACTACAAATGGCAAATCCTATCTAGCCTATCTACAATGCCACTGATGACGTCAACAGCTCCCCGAAGTACGAGCAGATCTCGGCCAATGCCGTTCGCCTCAAGCACCTGGTATGTCTCTCGCCTCACTCACAACCTCGATCCCCCACTCACAGATGCCACGTGCACCCAAGGACCACCATGCACCCCATCCAGCGTACAGCAGCGCAGCTCAGCTATGGCTGCCTGCTCCTTCCAGCTCGCCCGTGAGCGCGTGAGC